GCGCAAATACTTCTAACAAGATGGTGAAGGAGCCCGTCGACTGCTAATCGAATCAGTTTTTTGTTCAATGAAGTGGGCACTGCGTTTTAATCTGCCGTCTGTTGGTGTCGTCTCCAGACTCATTCATTCTGTCGATCAGACCCCACTTTGAGGTTCGACCTAGGTTCCTGTTTGCTCAAAAGTCTATCATAATTCTGAGGAGCTGGGGCGCTTTCATTTCATGTAGACGACTCATGTTGTTTTGGACGGGCAGGTGCTTAGCGTGGTAACTTTACGCTAGATGAAGCCTTTGGTTGCTGAATAAAATGGTTTCTTTGTCACGGACTTTCCTGCTTTAATCTGCTATGTGTTAACAAAAAGCTGTCGTGAAGCCGCGCGCGCCAAGCCGGGGTCCAAATGCTGCTGCTTTTTGGCTACGGTTGATTACTAAGCAAGCTAGCGGCCGGCTGTAAATGTTATCCTCGAGAGTCAACCACGCTCTAGTTTACAAGCCCTCTTACTTTACGATGCGGTCTCTTTATGGTCGATGAAAGGCTGCGGAAAGATGTCAAGCTGTGCAGGCGATCATGAGGAACTAGGCCTGGCCGCAATCCGCAGCCAACGGCTGCATTGTGATTCATGCTGACGTCACGCAAATTTATCCGCCCTATTTCTGTTTAGCCATGCATAATGGGTAGCTCCCTTTCTGGTGCTACCTTCCTGCTCCATTCATGGGGGCGCGCCCCGCCGTCACACCGGCTTGCTATGCTGCCACCAAATTCTCCTTGTGATTAATAACAGCCCACTCGAGCTGCCGGACGCGGTTTTCTGTCGAAGAAAAACAAACACTGCATCAAATATCGATCGTCCACGAGTGACGACTCAGACATGCGACGAGTCAGGGGCAAAGATTCAAGCAGTGGCAATGAGAATCTAATAGCCTGGCTGCAATTTGCGGTGAATGGGGGGAGGGTGTGCTGACGTCACGCTGTTGTTCCCGGCCCCTTTCCAGGTCGTCACCGGCTCCCTCTTCTGTGAATGATGTAGTACACCCGTCTTAACTGTCCGCAGCCAGCAATTAAAGTCTGAATGCTGAAAGTATTCACATAAAACAAGGATATTGAAAACGCTTACGGACGTTCCGGGTACAGGCAGTAAAAAATTCTGGATTTCGCCTGGGTTATACGAGAGTTGCTGCAACTGGAATTGAAACGAGCATTGCACGAATCGTAAGGTGGTGAAACAGTGATCGAGGAAAAAAGCACGGAACCCCGGTGATGATGGACTACTGGGTGGGAATCGCACCCATCTTCCTCTTTGGTGGTCATCTGACGCCGCGTTCACGAGGACCGGGTCGGGGGAAATATGTCCCGCCTTAGTAGTACGGCCCTGCATGACGGGACAATTTGTGCTCGCGCGCTTCTGCGCAAGGGGCGCAGGGCAGTTAGATCGCTCCGCGTCCTTCTATAATTGTCGACTGGCCTGCTGTTTGCTTGCAAACCTACGTGCAATTTCGGTGAGGAGCAAAGACCCGAGCGTTGGCGATGAGGAGTGAACTGGGCCGGTCGGTCTGATCAAAAGCCGCTTATGGGTAAAAATATCTAGCGGGGTGAGAATTTTGGAAATCTTTCAGCGCGAAATGCTGGTCAATGGCTGATGCCCTCATGATCACTTGCAGGCGCCCGGAGAAATTGAGGCGGAGTGTGCGAGATCGACAATATGGCACGCTCAGCGCGACACTGTATTAGTTTGCTTTTTAAACCCGTTTAAATTCTTTGGTGTTAAGTCTACCTGACGGGAAGCGCAATGAGCCGTGCGTTTCTGGCAAACACCCTCGCGTACGCTGTACGTCTGTTCAGACCCGGGATTCGTCGATTTCTCCCGGTTTCTTCCGCTGCGAGTCGGTATCAGGCTGTATGCTGAGTGGTTTCCACTCGCGCTCGTTATGTGACAAAGCAAAGAGCGGCCGCAACGAGGCAGTGACGAATTTGACTTTTGAGCATTGGCGCGTTTTCACCTCAAGCTCAAGCGCCTTCCCTCTTCTCACTCCGTTCGCACCATTTGCAGCGCTTTTTCCCTCTTCCGGGTGGCTGCATATCCCAACAATTGTCATTCGATAAGTTTCTAAGAATCCTCATACGAACGTCATTACGAAAAGAGAAGTATGTTATTAACGTCTGCAACTCCCGACCTTTGAATTGCTTGTCTTTCGTCGAGGCCGCGGCTTGCGGCACAGTTTTGTGCCGCGCTCGTCTCCCAAAAAAAGAGAACCTCAAGAGCCCGGGCGTCGGCCTGGATTTGACCCGCGCGCGCGGCCGCACAGTGACGCGCGCGTTTCAAATCTATACGAGCATGTCGTCTAACGCCGCCTCGCTCTGTCACCACGTCTGGATTAACGTACCGCCCAACTTCGCTTGAAATGAGAGCCCGCAAAACTCGGTTAGACCCGCAGATGTTTTTGGCATTCCCTCCCATTTTGGAGCGGATTCAATTCCGCGCCGGATTGAAACCCATTTGGTTCCGAACCCCGCGCCGTGATTTTGAGGAGGCCTAGGACGGGCGAATAACTCGAAACAGATCTCTCAGAGGCCCACAAGCGGTTGGGTTTGAAATACCCACGGCGAATCCGTGGCGATCACGTCTGTGCACCCGCAGACGCGCACACGCGCACCTGGCACTCTCAGTCTTTAGGGTGGCCGGCCAATCGGGGCGCGGCACGAGTCAGGCTTTCGCGCGCGCGCTTGCGCTTGCCGGATGTGAGACCCAAGTGTGTGAGCCCGTGGGGACCCATCCGGAGCGGTCGAAAGTTATCCGGAGGCTTTGTGGATCAGAAAATCGTTCCCTCCGTGCTGCTGACCCCAGAGAAAGCTGTTCGATCCTTTGACACCTGAACCTTCCGCTTCTAATACCACGCCTCAACGCAACTCGTACTTGGGCGATAAAATCATGACAATGATCTGAAGTTTCTGTTTACAAAACAACAGATCCGCCACGTCACAGTCCTCTCAAGACAGAGTGATGCCAGCTTGTCGACACTCGTTTTGGTTACTCAAGTCCTTAACTTCGATGCAATGTTTTTCGGGATCTTGCATGGCTCTGTTTGCTGCATCCAAGACTCTTGCAACTTAGGTTCCTGATTGGAAACGGTTCATCAAATGCTGAATTCTGGTGCGGCATCGTTTCATAGACGCACGCGCGATTCCAAAAGGGCCGTGCTTTGCATGCTAATCTGGTTATCGCTCGATGAAGCTTTTGGCTTGCTCAAAATCAGAAACAGAATCTTTGCTACGCCGTTCTAATCCGCTGTACGTAGACGTCAACTCCTAATTGCTTGGAAAAGCTGGGCGGACGTGAAGATCTCAAAATTTTTGAAGCTGAGGCGATGAGAAACTAAAGCTGGCTGCGATCTGCAGCCAGTGAAGGGGAGAATGGATTGGGCATGCTGACGTCATGCAGCTGTCTCCGCGTACTCGCGCGCTTGCGTTCGTGCCCCGCTTAGTGTATGAATCTACAGCACATGTCGGACGCGATGTGCTTGAGGAGCCTTATGGCGCTCGCTGGCCGCAGTGGCGACCGGACTGCGAAGCCACATGCTCGTTCGTCCAGCGGGGCGCGCGCGCGCTACTCCAGATGTCTTCGATGCCAGCTTTTGACTTGCAACGCGGCCACTCGTTGGGCGACTGAATGAACTGAATTCAAGCGGATCCGCAGAATCGGTAGGACCGAGATGTTGAAAGCGTAGGGCAACGGAGCAGGGATGCTGCCGATGAGCAAGGCCGCAGGCCGCAATCCGCAGTCGCCCTGTCTCCTTTGAGTCTCTTCACAAGTTTCAGCTTAAAGCCCATTTTCCGAAAAGGTTGCTTCTGCTCATCGAGAGGAGGTGAGACTACGCGGAGTGGTTGTTGCCTGCATAGAGGCAGCGACTCGGAAGATCAGCGTTTCGGTCGTGCTGCATAGTTCACCTCGAAGTCGCAAATACTTACACTCTTGAAGTCAGCGGGATATCTACATAAGACAGGCTACTTTATAGTGCCCTCATGATACTGGCTGCTCTCACTCATGGCACGGCTCCGCACATAGGCCTTTCCAATCCGAGTCTCGCTCTCCATTCCGAAAATCTCAACGTCGGCATAACATCATTACATTTGTTTCTGCGCCGAGCTTTTAAGAGACGCCCCGCGCCGAAGGTGAAGGGTGTGAAATATCGCTGATGAGAGGTGCATATCAGTAGAATGTGGGTTCCGTGCTCCTCCATTATTGTTTTTGAAATCAAGAAAGAAGGAGGAGACGACGCTTCGAATGAAACTACGGCAGGCAAAGATCGAAGTCCAAGCAGCCGCTTGTGGCCATCTATGATCGCCGTGTGCCGGTAGTCTGGTGGACTTAAGCCTCGTATATTCAAGAGTAAGTAACGATTACGAGCTTGTGATTAACACCGTGAAGAATACCAAGATCAGGCTTTCAATTCTAGCCGAGCTTGAATTTTGGGATTAATCCATGCATTCCAAAATCCTGGCTTGTTGGGGGTTCCTGTTCAGCAACATCAAAGTGTATATCCTTTTGTTGTGGGCCCGAATACTACCATTTGCAACAAAATGTCCCTAAATCATTGCCGCAACATGGACTCGACTTGATTCGTCCGATTTGTGGGCAAATACTTTCAAGCTAGGGGGTGTCCAGCCAAGCCTTCCTAGCTTGATAGAATGTTTGCGTATCTCCTTTGCTGGACTCCGCTAGCATAGGTGTCTTTTTTTGAGCCTGATGCACTGGCAGTGCTTGGCAATCATGCTGACAAGAGAAACGACTAGGGTTTATGTCAACAGTCGTTAGGACTTTTGATGCCCCATGTACTCAACTCTCTTGTTGGTTCGCCTGAATTTATGCGTCTACTGCTCTTGACCAGCATTCATGGCCGTAAGAGCACGGAATCTGGCTGAGACTCAAAAAGAATCGGTGTCAAATCTCAGAACTTCGTTTCCTCCAGTCATCAGCAGTACATCATCCGACTTTTGTACCCATGCCAAACATTCCTGAAGACGTCCTTGAATCGAAAAGCAAACCAAACCTGCCCAGTTGATGTCACATTGATTTGCTTCGCGGGTAAAATGCACAAGATTCACGGCGAGCATTCGGAGCACAGGGAAAAACGATATGCGTGCCATTAATTTTTAGGAACCTGTTACAGCCTCCCTGTTTCATTTGGGAGGGATACTGTTGCATGGAAGGAGCACGGTCTGGGCTGCGGAAGTCCCGCTTTGAAGTTTACGGAAACTGTTGAGAATCACCCTTCATCACATCATAAGCACGCCATCAAACGCCGCAGGCTTCTCATGCCCGTGGAACACGCCGACACATTCTGAGTTTCACGGGGCTGAACGCCCTACACTGAAGCGCCCCTTCTCTCCTAAGCACTTCTCTTAGAATGAATACAATCATCTTCATGTTCGTCTCCTCTATCAAGTCTAGCAGCCTATCAAATCTGATCACTGTTGTGAGTCTCCAGTCTACCGTTACTGGGTCTATTCCAAGTTCAACACCTTTGGGCTCTAGGCTCTTCTTTACCGTCCGATCTAACTAACTTTAGAGCCTACGTATCTGGGCCGTCGATAAGCTGTCGGCTGACTCATTATGAGTCAACGACTTCTAACACTCCCCCTCAGCCGACATGCTCCTAGCCCTTCTCCGCACTCCTTGTCGCTTTGGCCGCCTCGAGCCATGTTGCCGGCTTCCGGACTCTTTCCGGATAGCGCCGCTTCTCGTTCTTCTCCGGTGTCTTCTCGTTCTCCGAGTTGCTCCCCCGGAGGTCAATCTCCTCAATCTCCACGGCTTCCGTTGCCGCCGCCCGGGTTCCCCTCTTCTTTCCCGTCTCCTTGTTTGCCGGGGTCTTTGCTCCTACCGGCTCCCCCGTTGCCCTGCTCTTCACTTTCTCCGCTTGAGGCTCTACCCCGGCCTCGTCAAACTCGAGCTCAATCTCCACGAGCTCCTCCCGTTTCTCCTTCACGCTTTCCGCTTGCGCCTTCTTTTGCGCCGCCGCCGGCGCCTTCTTCGCTCCGTCCATCGAATACCGAGGGGTTTCATCAAACACCCACACCCCCTCTTCCGGCTTTGCTCCGGCCATTGCGATTTCCCATAGGCCGTTCTTCTCCTCCGCCTCCATGCACACAACTCCGCCCAGCTCAAACTGAGCGACCCGCCCCTCAATGGTCACCCTCGCCCCTGCGTCTGTCGACCTCCTCAGAGCAAACAAGTTTGCCCTCGCCTTGGGCACGTGTCTCACCTCGTACAACGTCACTGTGCCCACTCCGCTTGGGGTCCTACACTGCAGCTCGACCACCCCAACTCCGACCGCTGTCAAGGGCTCTCCCCCGATCCCTTCAATCACCTCCGGCTGTTCGAGCTTCCTGTAGCTCACGAACTTGCCCCGATCACCTGTGATGTGCTGCGTGCTGCCAGAATCTACCAGCCAGACCCCCGTCTGTGCTCCAGCGCTGCCTTGCCACGCTGTGAACGCCACGCCGCGCACGTCTGCTCCCTCCCTGGCCGCATATGCCCGCTCGCCTTTTCCTGCCGGCTGCCTGCACACCGCCTTTGTGTGTCCCCGCTTGCCGCAGTTCTCGCAGTCCTCATTTCGGTGCTTGCAGTACATCTTGATGTGGCCCTTCTCGCCACATCCGTAACAACCCCGCGAGTCTGAGCTACCCGCATGCTCCCGTGAGCTGCCCCTGCCCCCTCCTGAGCTCCCATAGTGCCTGTGCTTGGCCACAAAGGCCGACGCCTGCCCCCCATCTGCACTCTCCGCCAGCGCAGGCGTGCTCTCACCTTGCAGCCTCTGCTCCCGCTGCATCAGTTTTGGCTGCGCCATGTCCAAGCTCAGCTCATCGTCTCCCGCCTCTAGAATCTCTCTGAGAGTCTCATACTCCTTAGGCAGCCCCTTCAAGGCATGCACCGTCAGCTGCAGATCTGAGATGGTCTGCCCTGCCGCCTCCAGATCTACCTTGATCTCCCGAAACTCCCCCAAATACTCAGCAATGCTCTGCTTTTCACCAAGCTTCATGTTGGTCAGCTTCCCCGTGAGCTGGACCACTCTCGCATTGCTGGTTTTCTCAAAGTTCTGCTTCAGTTTCTTCCATGCCCCGGCTGCTGTGGTCTCCCCCGCAATGAGCTTCACAAATGCATCCTCAACGGACAACTTGATCAACGCCTTTGCTTTTGTGGAAGCCTTCCGCCCTTCTTCCGTGTCGGGCTCTTCAATTGCCACAAACAGCCCATTGAACTCTAAGAGGGCTTGGATCTTGTCTTTCCATACTCCCCAATTCTCTCCCTTCAACTTTGGCACCGCCGAGGAGAGTTTGTCAACACCCGCCATTGAGCACACTTTTAGGGTTTGCTCAAGCCCTCACCAAAGGAGGCTTATTCCCCTCTCCTTTCTTCCACGTTTCCCTTCATTCCTTCCCT